TGGGGGTGTTTAAGGGGGGGTGGATTAACCCCCCAAGAATCCCCAAACCAGGGGGCTGCCTGGGGAATTCTGGGAGTTGAAGTCCACACATCTTAAAGTTGCCAAAGTTGAAAAACACTGCCGTAAGTGGATAGGGAGGCCTTGCACAAAAGTGTAATTGCATTTTCTTGAACTCTGTTAACAGATATTTATGGGATCAGAAGCTCTTCATAAGCAAAGGAAGCTCATGTGAGTCACACTGTATGGCACTGAGCTGAAAGTAATCAGATCTTTTCCATCAGTATGACAAGATTGTTGTGGAAAGAACAAGGTTTGCAACAAGGGTCCCTGATTCCTTCCATGAGTAGATTTCTTGAACGTCTCAAAAGGAATAATGATTTGCCAAAGCCCACTTAAGTGAGTTCATGGCTAGGATGAGATGTGAAGGGTAGACCCCCTGGTATAATAGTCTACCAAACGCCATCTACACACATCACAACACGTTAGAGAAGAAGAATATGAGTGGGACCACATACACTGGCATGAGTTCCATTGAGAACTGTTTTGTTCAGAACAGTAGAAATAATTATTTTGAGAAAGTGGAGAAGTAATAATATTAAGGATCGGATTCAAGAGACATGTGACTCATCTGTTGTTGAAAAGACAATGTTATCTATTAATCCAAAAATGACTCAATGTGTTTTTCTGTAGCATAGATTTTACACTTTATAATGTTAGAGAATAATTTATTTATTTGGCTTCATGGACAGCTGACCAACAAGGTACAGGTGAAGGGTTCAAAATACCTTATTAAGCACTGAAGGGCCAACAAACTAAGTTCAAGTCACTCATGCTTGGGCAGAACGTCTGCTTCCATTCCTCAAGATCACTGAACTTGACATTTGTGTGAGAGTGCATGTACTGTATGCGCATTGCACAACAGATAAACACATGCAGGTACAAGAACATAATTCAAAGTTTTCATTAAAGCTATTTTTTAAAATCCCTTTTTAGTCTCCTGTTATTGTTTTGGCTCTCCACTGCCGAAGTGACGAGGGAAAAGACCAGACGGGGAAACAAATTATTGGGAAGCACTAATTAATTGTGCTCGTCTGAGCATTAGCAGCGTCAGGACATCTTTTTCTTTCAGGCAAAACACTTGGCTAAATCTTTTTTGGAAGAAAAGTAAAGGGAAGGAAAGATTTATGGGTTGGCGGTATGCTAGCACGCCAGCTCTGCTGGGAGGCAGAAATGAGATCTTTGCTGAGTGAACCCTATGTGGGGTGATGGAAGAAGAAAAATAAATAAGAAGAAAAAATAAATGAGCTGGCAACGCAAGAGCTCTTCGCTGGCTAGCTGGAGACTGTCAAAACAAAACAGAAAGCTACAAACATCTAATTCCATT